AATTATTCAACACAAAATTTCTTTTTGACTTAATTTTCTCATGATGTATCTACGCATAATATCCGGATATAAAATCGTATTTCACTATATGGTATTTAACCACGTCAACTTCTTCATATCTACGATTTTGATACACCAACAAAATAAATGAAGGATCAACTCGCATCCGTCACTATTATTTAATATAGATTGGAAGGTTCATGAAAATCTATTCGTCTTCATCAAAATTATTCGACACAAAATTTCTTTTTGACTTCATTTTCTCATGATGTATCTACTCATAATATCCAGATACAAAATTGTATTTCGCTATATGATATTTAATCACATAAACTTCTTCATATCTACAGCTTCGATAGTTAAGATGATTATAAAGTTATTTTATCTTTATTTCATCTATAGATTTAGGATGACTATCAACAAATGTAACAAATTCTTCAACCCCATTCACGAAACTCTTATTTAAAAGCCTATGATTAAACCTAAAAGCCATCCATGCACAATCGTACCTCATTTTTTCCTTCTACATATCCTAACCACACATAATTACTTAATTATTATTTTTTTCTAAAAATCTAACAAAATTTTGATAGAGTCTATCCTATAAATTAGATGTTTCTCAATTATAAAAGACTCTACTTGTATAAAAACTATATATCCAAACTACAAACGCACATGTAAATATTTTTACTTAATCATCATCACATAAGCATCAAACAAAAGTCATGATCTAGCAATCAAATCAATCAATTTATGCACGTCGAGACCGACGCTTGCCTCGTATAATCCTTTTAAATTAAAACCCAACCTATGTCTTTCTAACTCCATCACAGTAGTATCGACACCTTATTTTTTCTCAATTCCCGGAAGTCCCCAACCATTCGGGCTCAATATGCTACGACGTATTTGGACACGTTTCAATAATTATCGATAAAATAAATTCAATATCAATTGTTGCAATTAACTCACAATATATAAATTATAAATTAAGGTTTTGATAACTTACCTTACGAGTAGGAGTGGTTGAAAAATTATGAAAGTTGTCGAAGTGACCACCGACACTACTATTGACTAATTGAATAAATTTGTATATGAATAATTAATATCATAAATCACATAATAACCGATTATTTATCTATATCAAATAAATTTGATTAAAAATTAATTTATCAAATTTTAAATCCTAAGTTCAAATAATCTTGTATTATGTCAATTTTAAATAACACATTAATTTTAAAATAAATGTGTTATTTTAAATCCAATAACTTAATTATCAAATGACTCCATTTTTATTTTTAATAATTTTATAACAAATTACAAACTCAAAATTTTATCATAATTTATCAACAACCAGTGCCTAATTAATTCAAAATAATTTTGATAAATAAAAAATATACTTAATTAAATTTTAAATAACATAAATTTGAATTTTCCAATATATTTACTAATAATTAATTACATATATACCAAAACATAGCAAAATCAATAGTGATACAAAAAACTCACATGAATTAAATGTAAAATATGAATTATGAGAAAGAGACATACCTAATTGAATCGACTAGAGACTAATCGAAAGAGGAAAAGAGAGACAAGATAAAGAAGACTTGTTTAAGGGGGAGATCGTAACTATTTTGGGAGAAAAGACAACCAAAGTGGCTATGAAATGTCGAAGAGTGAAGAAGAATGATTTGTGAGGTGTTTTGGTGGGGAGTTACAGGTGATGACATCGCTTAGAAGAGGTTGCGGCGAAAGGTGGAGAGGGAGAAGAAACAAGAAAACGAGAAAGAAGAAGAGATTCTACTAATTTAGGTGGTTAACTTTATCGACGGATATGACTCCATCGCTAATTTGCCATTTGAAGATTGGCCCAATCAAGAATCGTCATGTTTTGTCTTTAAATTGTTGATTTCGTTGCAAATCGTTGATAAATATAAGTGCCCGTCGCTGATTTTAAATTTTAAAGTAGCATATTTTTTTACACACATAAGTAATCGCCATTTTCAATCACTAATATTGGATTTTGTAGTGACATACATTATCCATTGTAGATTTGTGACAAATTAAAGGATTTAGCGATGAAATATTCCATCGCTAGTAAGTTGAAAAAGGCTCCAACATTAGTGACGAAAATCATGATCCGTCGTTGAATGTCATTGCAATTTAATTGGTAATCCGTCACTAAAAAAGCTATTAAAAAAGTTCCATAACCGATTGTCTATTGCGGATGGATTGGTATTCCATCGCCGACAAGCACTAGATTGATGACATTAGTTATTCATTCGTAGATCCATCAATGTATAGCGACAATATGTTGTTTGTCATTGATTTTTATCGTTAAATTATAGGTTTTTTTTGTATTGTTGGAAGTTAGACTACTTTGCAAGTCACTATCTAACTAATCAATTTTTGTACTCTTTTGTTATAAACTTATTGAGAATCAATGAATGCACAAAAGAGCCACGGACTTTAAAGTGCATCTTTATAACCGTTCAAAAAATAACTTAGTACTAGTATGCTTAAGTCGACTCGATGATATCTTGACCTTTATAAAAAAGATAATAAAATGCTTTAGTTTTGGTTAAAAATGAGGGGTAACGTACTTTGATTCAAAATTAAAAAAATTTCTTTTTTAAGTGTCAAGTTCTTAAAAATAAAACAATACCACTCATGCACAATGTCACAAAGAAAGTAATTTTTTTTACCATCAAACTTAGTTTTTAATGCAACTAGTGTGGTTAAAAAATTTATTTAAAAACTTCATATGGTAGCAAACTTAGTGTGTCAATGCGAGCGTTTTAATAAAAGCATATTTAGACTGAAAAAATATCATTTTGATGCCTTTTCAAGTGTGTTTTCAACATCAATATATCAAAATCATCTAAAAACACATAAAAAAACATCAAATTGTTTTTTTTTTTTTTGGGATCCTAACACATTTTGAAAATAACCTTTAAATACAGTGCAAATGCATTGCCAAAGAACCCCTAATCTCTTTATTGTAGTGGTACGAAATATATACGATAGTGCAAGAACTCTCAATTTTTGTGTGTATATATATATTCATCAAATGTAGTAACCCATTACATAAGATCTATGTGTTTTTTTTTCTTTAATAGAAACATATCGATTGTATTAGTGCATTTCCAGTAATGGATTTCATAACCAATTTATTTTGCCGTAGAAATACATCATCGCGGTAAGATTTGTAGACCACTATGGAATGATAATATAGACATCATTATGCTTTTAACTTTTATTTCATCCCGTTGAACTATCTATAGATAAATTTTGCCAGTTGAAAAACGACTAAAAACTATCCAAATCGTAACCGTTTAATTAATAAACGATTAATACTTTTTACTAATTAAAACATCGTTATATTAAAAAAAACTAGTAGCTGTGTGATCTTCCAATCTAGCTCCACAAACAAAATCACATACCAATACAACATGACACGTGCAATGCACATGCAAGTTCATGCACAGCATTAATTAATCAATAGGTAATTATCTATTATCTATTTTTTTTATTAATCCAAACAGCTATTCGACCTAACACCATACCAAGCACGTTTTTAGTTATAAAGACTATCTAAAAAATATATAATGATCTTAGATAAAAATAAAATAAATGAAATAATTCGCAAGAACCAAAAAAAAAAACAATTTATTCTACCAAGAGAAGAAAATATTAAAATAAATAATAATCTCTCTCATTTCTTATCTCCTATCTTCTTGTAAGCAGATAAAAAGGTAATCTCCACAAATCATAACATACACAAATTGGTCCAATCCCAGGCTTCCAGAAAGTCCAAGTGAATTCGGACTAGGCCCATAAAGAAACAAATAAAAAGAACCATAAAAATGATAAAAGTTTTGATATTTTAATTAATTAATTAATTATAATATTTTAGAAGAAGAGCAGAAAGGAAGCTGTTCTTCATACGTTTCATTCTCAGTATCCAAAACTAACAGAAATTACGCCTCTCTCCACCTCCTCTTCATATAAACACAAACAAAACAAAACCCTAATTTTATCTCTTTTCTCTCAGCAACAGCAACAACACCACCAACAGAAAAAAAAATTTATAAGAAAACCCATCATCTCTCGCATTAACGCTGAAATCTCCCTCTCTTCTAGATTGACAAGAAGAAAAATTCTCCTTTTGTCTGTGTTATTTCTCTATAACACTGAAACTCTCTCTCCGTCGATGAAACGCATTGGTTAAAGATTTCTGAGGGGAAATTAAAAATATAAGATAAACACACTTTACTTTTTGAGGAGCGGTTATTAAAACGGTTACGTTTTTGGCTATAGAGATATAGCCTTCCTTTTGTTAGGGTTAGTACTTCTCTCTATTATTTGTCTGACCTTGTGCGTTTATTTCGCTCTCTATAACTCTTGTTGAATTTGTTCATGTAACAAACCCTAGAGCATTGCAGTTACGCAAATAGAGATATACAAGTGCATGAACTAGGGTTTCTAATTTTTTTTTTTTTTTTTTGGGGTTTTCGTTGAATTTTAACTGGTTTATGGGAGTGAACTCTTGGTTTAGAATTGTGGGGTTTTCTTTGGTTGCTGCCTTAAGACTTTTTGTTGAATTGGGATTCTTGTGAAAGATGAGGGCCCGTTGATTGTGTGGTTTTATCATAGATACATACATACATACATATATATATATCTGCAAATCCATCTTTTATTAAAAGATGGAGGTGTAGAGGGAGAGAGAGAGGGCGTGGTGCCGGTATTGAAAACTGCTTGCGATTGATTAATTTGTGGTGGAAACTGTCACAGGCTAGATAATTTGTGAGTTGGTTGGTTGTTGATTATTCAATCAGTTTGGTGTTTATTTCAGGGAAGAAAAGTAGGGTTAGTGGCTAGAAGGTAGTGGTATTGTATAGGATAATAGTTCTCCTAGGAGGGGGGAGGGGGTGAAGAAGGTTAAGAAGTGTTTTCTTTTTTCTTGTTGAATCTGATGATGGTCACTGCCAGTCCTTATGGAAAGAAGTGAACCCTCTTTAGTACCAGAATGGTTGAGAAGTACAGGCAGTGTATCTGGGGCTGGCAGTTCAGCCCACCACTCTGCATCATCTTCTTCTCCCTCAGGTATTTTGCAATTTTCAAAGTTTTAAATGTGTGTTAGTAAATTCCATATAAATGCGTGTTAGATAAATTCCATATGGTATTTTTTCTGTTTTTATTTCCGTGTTTGGTCATGTTAAGTGGCTTGCATTAATTGTTAGCTTTGGTTATGGGTGTTAATTGGTCAATTTGTTGAATAGATGTCTCTTCATTGGCCAATCACACGAGAAATAGGAGTTTTAAGGTCATAAATGATTTTGATTCCCCTCGCTCCACTTTTCTGGACCGGACATCTTCATCTAATTCGCGTAGAAGTTCTAGCAATGGGTCTGCAAAGCATCCTTACAGTAGTTTTAGTAGAAGTCACCGCGATAAAGAGCGAGAAAGGGACAAAGAGAGGTCAAGCTTTGGGGATCATTGGGACAGGGACTCTTCCGATCCCTTGGGAGGCATATTAACCAGTAGGACTGAGAAGGACACCTTGCGGCGTTCCTATTCAATGGTATCGAGGAAACAAGGCGAGCCAATGCCGCGCAGAGTTGCCTCGGACTTAAAAAATGGGAGTAGCAGCAATCACACCAATGGCAATGGTTTGATTTCTGGGGGAAGTTTTGGTAGTAGCAGTCAGAAGGCAGTGTTTGAAAAAGATTTTCCCTCACTTGGAAGTGAAGATAGGCAAGGAGTGCCTGATATAGCAAGAGTTTCATCTCCTGGTTTAAGCTCAAGTGTTCAGAGCTTGCCTGTTGGTAGTGCTGCTTTGATCGGTGGAGAGGGATGGACATCAGCTCTGGCAGAGGTGCCCACTATTATTGGAAACAGCAGTACAAGTTCTTCATCTGCTGCACAGACTGTTGGTGCTTCTTCATCTGGGACTTCAAGTGGAATGGCTGGTCTCAATATGGCTGAAGCATTGACTCAGGCTCCATCAAGAACGCGCACTGCACCACAGGTAACTGGTTTTTCCTCTGCCCTTCCTTCAGTCATGTCACTTATAGCTATAGACCATAGTTTATCTAATGAGATGTTTACTTCAAACCTGCAGTTGTTTGTCCAGACGCAGAGGCTTGAGGAGTTGGCTATTAAGCAATCAAGGCAATTAATACCTGTGACTCCCTCAATGCCTAAGAATTTAGTAAGAGAACTTATCTGATATTTACTAGATCTTGTTTTATATTTGTACTATGTGGTAGTTTTAAGGTGCTGGTTACTGATAAATCATCATACCATGTGCTTTACCTTTTATTTGCTGATGTATCCTTTTGTTAACTTCCTGTATGTTGCATGCCGATCAGCATTGAACAATAGTGGCTTCAGTCTTTATGTGGAGCATTGCATGTTAGTCGTTTTGTGAGGAATTTGGTCCAATTCTGCTCTATAATTGATTCGAGGATTTACTTACTAATGAACCTTTTTTTAATCAAAACTTCATATACAATTGCTTTTGACAGCATGCCTTTTAGTTGGATTAGTTGATTGATTGCTGTAGTTCTTCTCTCTGATTAGTGGAATGATGATAATATCTTTAGTGGAATGTTACATAGGTTATCAGACTATCTTTTTGAATATAATACTATGTTCTGTTGCTCTCTATTTCGTGAAAATTGAACTCATCTATACAGGCAATGTGTATGTGCATACATGCTGCACCACGCACATCCATGTTCAAAATTCCTGCTGGTATTTTATGATGGAGGATTTCAAATAGTGTTTTTCTTTTATACGAGAGAATGTTGGAAGGTTTAGGCTTGTGGTGCACTTCAGTCTCTCAGTTCTGTGGGTGGTATGATTTGCTCAGACTTTTGTGGAAACCATCCTTCATCTAGGGTACATTTGATTTTTTATTTTTAATTGAAAAGGAGATAGAAGAGTGGAAAAGTTTCTTTAGCTTGCATTTCTTATGGTTAACTCGTCTTGTACACCATCTACATTTTTTGAAGGTTTTGTTTTCAGTATGGACTCATTAATGTACCACTAGGTTCTACCCTGTGGAAAGTTCTTAATGGAACTTTAGACCAAGAAACCACAGGTTTTGCTTGGTGGGCTGGGAATGCCCGACTTATGAATTTATCCTGTAAACTACGGGGAGCTCATGTAGTCCATGCTTGATTAATGGTATTTTGGATGGGAGCAATGAGCCTATTTGAAGTGGCCCATTCTGTATGGCAGAAGCCAATGAATGAACAAGGATTAATTTTACTTCACCACCTAGCTACTCTTGGTTGGGGGGTGGGTCTTGACGGGGAAGTTATAGAAACCTTTCCATACTTTGTATCTGGCATACTTCACTTAATTTCCTTTGCAGTATTGTGCTTCGGCTGTATTTATCATGCACTTCTTGGACTTGAGACTCAAGGGATATTCAAGTATGGGACAGGAAACTTTAATCAATTTCCTTTATTTCTAATTCACTTTTTTTTCCATGTGTGTTTTCGACTGGTAAAGCGTGAAGCATGTTCTCATTTTTATGTCTTTTACAAACCTTTAAGTTTCTGTTGCCTTTCTGCATTGATGATTAGGTTATGTTATTTTTCAAGTATTAGAATGGGTTTATATATTGATATATATGGAGTGCAGAATGATGTTTGGAGGACAATAGAAGTTTTTATTCGCGAACAGATCTTCTTGCGCAGTGTTTGTGCAAGTATGAAAATTTTGTCAGCATTGAATAACCATTATCTAGAGTTGACAATAGTTCCTTGTTTACTACAGTTAGCCTCTTTCTCCTGCTTGGTTGGTCTGAGTCTTGAATAGTACAGGTCCTTTTCTGCTTTGTATTCGACTTGTGGGATTGAGGTTGTGACTTGGTTATTACTTAGCATTATTTTGTGATTCAGGTTGTGATTAGGTAATACTCACAATGTCCATAATGCCAATGAATGAATTTGTAAGGGGTTAGCTAGTTGTCCCAGATGTCAATAATAAAGTTTGAATGATGACATGTGCACACTGATTGCTTGACTCTTGTGATGACTGCAACCCCTGTTTCTTGTTCCTTATTTTTCAAACCACAAAAATGTGTAACCGTTTGCTAATTTTCTTTTTTTGTTTCAGGTTCTCAGTTCATCTGATAAATCAAAGCCTAAAACAGGAATCAGACCTGGTGAAATGAATATGGCTGCAAAGAGCTCACAACAGCAGTCGTCTTCATTGCACCCTTCTAATCAATCTTCTGTAGGGGTACATGTCAAATGTGATACACCAAAGACGTCTCATGGGAAGCTATTGGTTCTCAAACCAGGTTGGGAAAATGGTGTCTCCTCTTCTCCAAAGGATGTTGCTAGTCCAACAAATACTTCCAGCAGAACCGCAAATAGCCAACTTGCTGCTCCTTCAGTTCCATCTGCACCTCTGAAGAGTCCAAATAACCCAAAGCTTTCTTCAGGGGAGCGCAAGCCAACTAGCTTGAATTTAAATTCAGGATTTGGTGGGGAAAAGAGAACCCAGAGCAGGCATGATTTCTTTAATGACCTGAAGAAGAAAACTGCTATGAACACTTCTTCGGTTGCAGATTCAACATCTGTTGTTTTGTCTCCCACCAGTGAGAAATCTTGTGAAGTAAACAAAGAAGTTGTCAGTGCTCCTGCAAGTCCTCAGGCTATTCAGAATGGTGCTGAACTGACTAGCAATGGTGGGACCTTAGAAGAGTTTCAAAGATTTTCTGAGGAAGAGGCTGCGTTCCTTCGTTCTCTTGGCTGGGAGGAAAATGCAGGGGAGGATGAAGGACTCACAGAGGAAGAGATTAATGCCTTCTATGAGGAGGTAAATACTACAAGCTCTTTTCTTGTTTATTCATTGAGAAGTCACTCTACTCAGGTGGCCCTTGTTCTACTTAGGTTCTATGAAGTTAATAATGTCCATTTGATCTTATTATGCAGACTGTTGTTCTTTTCCACTTTAATTTTTTGAGCATAAATTTGTCAAACTTTGATTGCAACTGCTTCAAGTTGTCAACCCAATTTTTAACATAATGCAACTAAGTTACTGTTACTTGATTCACCGGCTGATAGTTGGAACAGTGATCTTGCAATTCTTGAATTATCCTGTTCAAAAGGCTTCTATTTAGAAGTCTCTTGTAACAAATCTATAAATGCTGTTGTACTTATTTCATGATTTCACTTTGCAGTATTTTACCAAGAAGCAATCTCTGAAAGTGTGCCGAGGTATGCAGGAAAAGCTGAACGAATGTCATGCTGCGACTTCTGGTGGAGCTTCCTTTACATTAAGCTCTTCTGAGTCTGGATCAGATGCCTAATGCTGTTCTCTGAAATAGCAGCCCAAGAAACTCCAATTTTTTGATGACAGGTGGCTAGTTTCTATTTTTTTCTCTTTTCTTTTTAAGAAGGCTGGTAAGTTGCGAATGGAAGAAGGGGGTGGATTTTTGGTCGGAACTCTGCATTTTGCAAATAGTGCAATAAGTTACAGTTGCCCAATCCTGCCTTCCCAAATAGAGGGTAATTTTTCAAGGTGATCAGGTTGGTTTGGAAGAGGGTAGGTTAGAGGCTGTTTTGTCTGGTGGGAGAAATTGCTGCATCTTTTGGGGGGTATTTGGTCCTTTTCACTTTTTTTCTCTAGAGGGTTTGATTCTACAAAGAAAGCGAATGGTGTTTTTATCAATTTTACGGAAAAGAAAGGAAATCAAAAGGCTTCATTTTTAGTTTAGTTCATGTTTTATACAAGTATTTTTGGTGTTGAGTTTGGGCAAATCATGTCAATATTTTAGGCACAAATTGCACATGAATAAAAAGAAATTAATTTTAGTTCGAAGTTTAATTTCATTTGTTAGCATTATCCCATTATTTTAAAACATTTGGACTCATCTGAGGGGAAAAAAAAAAAAAAAAAGGGGTAGCATGGAATGGCCTCTAAACCCTGTGTTTTGCAAGTCCTGTTTAGGTCAAAATTATAATGTTTTGTAAGTCAGGTTTAGGTCAAAATTATAATAATAATAAAAAAAGGGTCTCAGCAAATTCGGAACTTGTATTTGTTCAATTTATCCTCTATTTCCCATTCCATCTTATTATCATTATAACGGTCTCAAGCAAGATAGATTATAAAGTGTTTTAGCGTATTTTGTTCGCATAAAAGTGGATATCGTATGTTTCATTTTGATGAGAAGCGGCGGATAAGCATTTCTTAGGCGAATATGAATGCAGTCCGGTTATCCGTGCTCGTGCCAAATGAAGTAATAGCAGTCGCCTATTGACGGCTCACAGGGATGTTAGGAAGGAATAAGCTATTGGAATTACCTCCTTGTCTCGTGGGAACCACATACCAAATGAAATATCGTTCTTGTAAGAGACGACATCAAAATCTACAGTCGAACATTGTAGTCTCGCTGATATCTATCTCTTTTGTGGTAGGGTGAGGCTACAAATTCAAATCCTGGACAGGTGGTTCTTAAACCAAGATGGATGGATTCTATGGACTCTCTTTGAATCAAGAATTTACCTTAAAATAAAGGTTGGACTTTACCCATTTGGTAATTGCACAGGTCTTTTCTGAAACTATAATTTCAAGACCGGTGCCTAAGTTGCAAAATATGCCAAAAAAGCTAAAAATGGGTCAGCGAAAAAGAAAATCCTTGTCAGACAAACAGACAGATATAAGTCGTTATTAATAAAAAAAATTTCTCCTTGTTTAATCTTTATTGACTGACTGCATAATATTCTCCCTAGTCCATAATAAAATATTTGGAAGATGATTATAAATCAAGAATGCAATGGTTCCGTTCACGAGCATTACCAAAATGAATAAACAGGCTGCATATTTGGATAGAAGAAACCCCAATGCTGTTCAATCCCAGCCTGCTTTAGATTCTCATTGAACATTGCAAAAAAGTAGGCGTCAAGCGGTTGGCCTGGCCGCCGTGGAGTGCCTTTTCCTCCGAGTATGCGATTCAATAAGTTTCTATTATATGTCTCTGCATTTTCTGGACTTGTGATGGGTTCATTCCCAGCACTAGGCCAGCCAGTGTCTGATATAACAACAGCAAGACCAGGCGCGTTAATCTTCTCCAAAGCTGCATAAGACGCATCAACCATGGCATCAAAGATATTGCCATACACAAGGTTTTGATCGCGGACTGTTGGAGCCCCTGGCCTGAGTAAGGCATAATCCAATGACATAGTAGTTGTGTCTGAAGCATAGGCAAAGTAAGGATATGGATAGAGCATGAGGGATGCTCCGTGCTGCAACAAAATAGGTGCAATGCTTCTGATAGCAGCAGTTGCATCATTAGTGAAAGCCCCAGCCGAAGGAGGGTAAGAGGTTACAAGTGCGCTTGCCGGAACAACGGTCGACATCTTAATGTAAGTTATTGCTGCATTAGCAAGTGCAGTATACATGTTAGCAATGGCTTGTCCTATGTATTGTGACATAGCCCCTGGAATCGCCTCGTTGCCTACTGTAATATAAGTGAAGTTAACATCAGTTCTGTAGGGGACAATGTTAGTGGAAACCAATGAATTAGCTGCATCAAGGGTTGTTGCAAGGCTTTGTATGTCCTCATTTCCTGTACCGAGAATAACTCGTAAAGGCTTGCCTCTCAATGCTTGAAGCACTTCCGGATCTGGGTCAAAGAGCCGAACAGATGGAATGTGGCATCGGTCATAAAGGTCTATAACTGCTGTGTGTCTATATTGACAGGACCGAGATTTTCTTGGTGAAAATATATTGTCTAGGGACCTAAACAGGTACATATTTCCGTTTTTAGTGAAGATTCTTTTTTCTTTCTGTCTAGTTTGAGTCTAAACACTGGCTTTCGGCTTTCCTTTTGCTTGTCTACTTTCCTGTTACTACTTAGTTTTGAGACTTTTGTTTCCTTTATCGTGTGTTTATGTATATATACCTGGCAGGATTTATAATGTGGTTAGTCATTGATTTGTTCAAATTTAAGGAAATCTTTTTTATTCGAATTATTAATGACCAAAATTGCTCTTATTCAAAGCACGGGCTACCTCTGATTGCTTTCTGAATCAAATCCCAAATTAAATTAAAACTAATCTTTAAGATCGGAACAATTTTTTTCTGTAATCACTAATCACCATGAAAAATTGTATGCCTAAATTTATATTTAAATCAAATAAACTGAGTGATAAAAAAAAATTGGGATAAAAACTACAAAAAAAAATAGTTTTTTTTATTACATACTAATAATCAAATAAACTGAGTGATAAAAACTCGATATTACTTTCTTATTATATAAGTAATTGATAGTTTTTTTTATTACATAATAATAATTAAATAAACTAGAGTGATTAAAAATCAAACCCGCTTTAGCGAAAAAGGCTACCAGGTACATTACTAGTAAGCTATACCTGCTTGCATTGCTTTCTTTCTGTATTTTTTTCCCATAACAAAGCTCTTGAATATCTATCGTCAAGACTGGGAACGATGGAATGGATTTTTTTTCCATACAAGTAGCCTTAATCTAGTGATTGTAGGTTGATAGTTTTCTTTCATATTCAAAGACTTTCAGTTATACTGATATAACGAGGAAGAGTTCCTTTCATTGTGGAATGAAAGACCCATCCAGCCTTGAACCTAAAAAAGGTATATATATGTATATATATACAAGTAATTCATGAGGCAAACAAGGCAACACAACCTACCAACTTAAAAATAAGTATTCTTTTCATTTCTCTTACCGGAAAAAGTTCACTAATTCTTATAGATATTTTACTGTCGCATACTATTAGACATTATCAAAATGGATAGACTGGCTACATGTTGGGATTAAAAAAACCCAAAGTTCTGCTGAAGCACAGTTTTTTTTTTTTTTTTCAAATCCTCATTGAAAATTGCAAAGAGGGATGTTACCATGAGTTGTCCTTGCCTCCTTGGTCTCCCACTATGCAAGACATGATTCATCAGGTTCTAATTGTAGGTTCTGACATTGCCAATACTTGTATAATTAAGGATCATTTCCTGTTGGCCATCCACTCTCTGCTACAGCAATTCTTCATTCTCATGACCAATTTTCTGTAATGGAGCATTAATCGCATCGACCATGGCATCAAAGAGATTAAAATACTGCAAACCTCCATCGATTCACCACAGGAGTGCTTGAAATAAACAAGGCATAGTCCAAGGAAATAAGATCGGCTTATGAAGAATAGGCAAATCAGCAAGGATGAATATCAACCATAATTAAGAGGCGCACCATCTTGGAGTAAAATACTGGCAAAATTGGTCATGACCTCAGGTATATCACTACAAGAAAACCAAAAAATAGTAACGGATTTTTTCATCGCTATTTAGCATTAGTGATGGATTTACGAATATACTTTCAGTAGCAAATATGGTCGTCGCTCTTTTTCTCAGCAACAAAATTTTTTTTCTGTCACTAATGAGTAGAATTTCCATCGCTAAAACGAAGTAAACAAGTCATCTTCTCGGTCCGTTATCTATCGCAAAACCATCTCTAATTAGTTATTTTTTTCGCTAACTAGAGATGAATTATATGTCCCTAAATCATGCTTGTTAAAATTTCTCACAAATCCGTTGCTAAATTCATCGTTATGTAGCAAGCTGTATATGTGTCCGTCGCAAAGAGATTTAGTTTTTGTCTCTAATTTGGTCGCTAAATGAAGAATATATATGTGTGTGTATAAATTAATATTCGTTTAATGTTAATAATAGTAACAAATAATTAAAAATAACACATTAATAAAACACAATTTATTATTTAATAAAATTGAAATCAAATAAATATATAAATGTGTTAAGTTATACTAAAATATCAAAAACTTAAAAAAAAAAATCTAGTCCTAATCATCTTTCGATTGTTGAGTATTGAGAGGAATGACTCACTCCTAAGTTGTGGGGGTGTCGGCATGTCTATTGTAGGTCTTGTAACAAACTCATCACTATCCGTATCCGACTACGTAGAGTGTTAAATTGACTAGACTATTAGGATACTGCGAGGAGACAGAGGAGGAGTTGAAGTCACAATGAGAGTAAAACTAGGACACCAATGATTTGAGGCTATACACTCTCTACTTCTTCTCCCCTCCTACAACATCCAAATACATCCGGATCATGTCGATATTTGGAGATGATAAATCATCCTTCTAATGCTCCTTAGAAGTTGCTTCTTGCATTGACTATATGCACTCCTATGTCATTAAAATAATTACAATATTAAATTATAAATATATTTTTTAAATTATATTGATAGATGTATATTTACAAAAATAAAAATAAAAACCTTACCATTATCGTATAAGATCGTCTATTGACGAATGACCCATC